CAAGTGTATGATATATACCGGTTATACCTATTGGATTGGGTTTCTGTGAAAAAAAAAATTATTGTGAGAATCGTAAGAAGAGCTTTCCACCCTTAGATCAATCCTAATTGAGTGTCAACGTTAGTGAGGTACACCGAGATGCACAGATCAATTCCCTTCTAAAGTGCAATTCATGGGTGGATATAAAACTAAAAGTGATCAATGATTCAGATCTCTTATTACGCTTTTCATTATAACTTCTCTTCTCACACGATATTTCGTCTATACCTATTTTGTGAAATACAAATTACAAGCTCTAGAGGGGTTTTAACGTGTATTGAATGCTTCAAGAGAGTTCATTTCGTTCAACAAATTGTGGAATGAGCTACATGCTTTTAAAATGAGTTAATCGATTACAGTTTACGAGATTAGTCTGTGTGATTTAATACTTTTCACATAGTAGATTTTCTTCTGGGATGATCGTGTTTAAAACCAATAAAAAATAAAACGAAAACAATTTAGCATATCTAAACATTTATGTACAAACGTATATGATTATAATTTGTATTTTGTTCAAATATAAAATTTAGATTCTTTTTAGAATGTGGAATTACTTTAATTTCTCATTCTCGATTTACAAAAAAATTACTATGTGCATCGCACGGGGAATAAATTAACAATTGTAAACACATTTCCGAACCCTCTCCCTTTTAACTTTCAATTGAGGCATTTCGGAACTCTCTCGCGCCTTTTGTCGGATCAAGAAGATGAGCAAAATTGGAAAGAAGAGAGTAGAGCACTCCCCCTTTAGTGAATCATGAGCCTATATTTTGTGTAATTGGATTTACAAGAGAATGAAAGGGTTGATATTTAAAATATAATACAGGTTAGGAGATGGAGAGTGCACACTCGTATAAGCTAGCTAGAACCAGAGATCATTGTATGGCATACTATGGTGGGGGTCAAGGGGACCATGACCTGTTGCAGGTCGTGGGGGCAGGCCCTGGCGAGTTCCTAGTGGCAACGCCTCTGATAGTGGTCGGGACAACTCCCTGAAGAAAATTGAAGTTTAAGAGAGTGAATACTAACGGTTTTAGCATCAGGTGGTCTTCAATCGTTATTCATCAATATTTCTGTAACACTAATCAGTGGCAAAGCAACCCACTGATGGTTATCAGCTCATGTGTTTCCCATTGAAGGGTTATATGGGTTCTCTATCAAGGGATCTGTTCGTAACAACTCAGTAAACTTTCTTAATAACTTTTATTAATTCATAGTAATAATTTCTCTTTATTGGGACATTATTCTTGGTTTAAATGAATGAACCGTTACACTTTCTCTACAGGTTATGACGTTGAATTGAGATTATTCTTGAAAATATTTTGTGATATCCAGAGAGATTAAAGTTACAATATTAGCATAAGAAATTCGAGTTTTATTTTATTTTTCACCGACAATTATTTTTATAATAATATAAATAAAAACTTTGCTACGAAAAACACATTTGATTCTGTTTGAATAGGGATCACCATCAATGTCCTCAAGATTCTCTTTTTGACTGAATAAAACAAATTGGGTGATTTTTCAAAAGTCAAATAAATATATTTTTGACTTTAAGGAATTTTCATCTATATTATATTATAAACCATTTGATAAAAAATTTTAAAAACTATTTTATATGCATAAAGTACAGTTTATTGATATATATTATTTGAAATTCAAGATTATAAATAAATTGTGTGTAAGTACAACTTATTAAATCTTTATATTTAAAATCGAGCAACTAACTGCAGATAAACATAATCAAATAGATGATAAACATCTCATTTTAAATATAAAAAACTAAAATATAATTAAAATGATCATTAAGTTCTAATAAAATACTAAATTATTATCTTTATAAAAAAATTATATTATTAAACTAAAAATAAAAGAATGAATTAAAGAAATATAAAAAAAAGATAAATTTTAAATAGTTAATTAGGTACTAATATATTTTTTCTTTTCAAAATTTTATGATATTTTCATATTTATATTTTATTTAAAATAAAAATATTATTGTTTTTTTCAAAACCACATAAAGCTGTATCTCGCTGTATTATAGAATACCCTTCTAGTAATATAATTCATTTCAAGATTTTAAAACATATACAATTTAAATATCCACATTTTTAGATAAATTTCTCGTCAAGATAATGTTCACTTGCCATAGTATTTAACGATATTTTTACTTGCATTTATGAATTTTGGTAGTTAAATTAATGACATTAATCCAAATGAAAGAAGCACGTTACATTAGATTCAACTTATTCTTTGAAAATTCTAACAACTTCCCTTTTCTTCATTCACTTTTCAACATTCTTAATAAATGATTGGCATACCAAATAACAATGATAATAATGATAACACAGTTAATTAGATAACTCGCAATTCAATTTAGGGTTAAATATATGAAATAACATATATTTTTATAAATTTTATTGTTGTATTTTATTTTATTTTTCTTTATTACAGCAATGTGCTTTTAAATTATTTTTTATTAAGGTATCACACTTTAAAAAATCTACCCATTATAGCAATGTGTAATCTGTTACATTTTCAACCGGTTAACCCTTTGACTTTTTTTGCTTGTGTGGCTTTGAGGTGATGTGGATGGCACATCATTTTGATGACTTAATTAAAATAAAAATAAAAATAAAAACCTATTTCAAATTATTAGTAGTGTTTTCATTTTTCATTGCTATGATTTAAAAAACATTTAAATTTTTTGATTTTTTCTTATTAAGTTACATGCAAATTAAATATTTTAGAGTAAAATATTTCTTAAATAAATATGCTACATTATTTTCGAGATATATATTTTTTTTGTAAAAAATATAACACTTTTTATTTTATGTTGTTAAAAAAAATACATATGTTTTAAAATTCTCTCTAAAATGTTAACGAAATAAATTATGTTTTACAATTTTTTAATATTGTTATATTAATAAATAATTCAAAAAAATCTAATTGATTTAATATATTTATATGTCAAGTAAAATTTTTTGAACAAATATAATATATTCTTTAAAATATAATATTTTTTTTTGGTAAAAAAAGAATAATTCTTTTTTTTTTCAAAAAACAATATTTTAAAAAAAATATTAGCGAGATAAGTTGGCTTCTACTATTTTTTTATTAATATTGGTATATCTAATGAATAATTTAGATTTTTTTAATTTATTTAATATATTTATTAAATAACATGTAAAATATCTAAATATTAAAATTAAAAGTATATTGTTTAATAAGAACTAGTAGATGTTATAATAAAATAATTTTGAAAGTACAATGTTGTAATAAGAAAGTCACATCACTATAGTACATGTAGACATCCTACGTGGACAATGAGGTGGAATTGAAACCTGATATAATGGGTAAATTTAAATCAAAAGGTTACCCAGTGCTATAATGGGTAACTTTTTCAAAGTACAATGTTCTAATAAAAAAATAATTTGAAAATACATTGTTGTAATAAGAAAAACTGAAAGTACAATGCTATAATAAAGAAATTTATGAAAGTGGATTGCTATTTTGTGCATTTTGCCCTTCAATTTAATACAACATAATAATAATAATTTAAGTAGATAGGTCGGAAAGCAGTCAGAGTTGTGAAATTTACATCATACAGATTACCATAACAGTTATCCATGATTATAATATAAAGCTTAGCGACAACCAAACCCCAAACGGTAATCCATGTTAATATCATCTTTACTGACATCTATCTAACACGAAGAAAATTTTGGAAGTTGATTGTTCAAAATAAATGTTTTCAAAGTTAAAACCAAACCAAATGAGTCCACCAAATCCCACATAAGATGTATGTAAACCTGACATTCCTTCCTAAAAAATAGAGTTAATGTTTATGTGAAGGCACTCAATGAATGCATAATGTGAGAAATGTAGAACCAGATAGACTAAACATTGAGAATTTAGATATCAGTAAGCAGTAACAATACAATCAGGAAAAGAAATAGAAAGAAGACAAATATGGTAAATTTTGAGAAAGGAGATATAATAAGTAAGTAGCAACAATATAAACAGAGGCCAATATGAAAGGAACATAACCAAGGTGTGAAAATTACACACCTTCAGTCTAACTAAGGTTTTTGGTAACCTAACATGGATTCACTAACCCCATCACCTACCTTCTATGTCTCTAGCTTATTTTCTCCCATCTAGGTCCCCACCCTAGTCTTGCATCTTCAAGTGCTCCTATTAGAAAATACTCCAAGCCGCCATGTCTAATATTAGTTGTTGTTCATCCCACGCCATCCTTTCATGCTCACTTCCTCGACTGTGACACTTCATATCCTCTTTACTGAAGTCGAAATCTATCTTCTATAAACGTGAGTAAGCCATCACAATATTCATCCCCTCAACCTATCCGAAACAGGTGCAACTCCAAACATTGCCTAGTGGAGGCCTTGCATATCCAAATCAATCCTTCACTGCTCCAATTTCCCATTCCCCTTGACCTTGGGCTGCTCTACCAGCACAATGTCATTCGTGAATAACATAAACCATGGGACACTTCCCCAAACCTTGTAAATTCTCATCTCAAATCTAAGATCGACCTTAGTGCCTATCTTCACCAAAAAATACTATGCATCATCCATTAGAGTCCTAAGTCATTGAACCTCGTACACATCCTGCATTACCTTGATATACCACCAAGATACCCCCTTATCCAGACTCCTCCAAATCACTTCACGTGGTACACTATCATATGTTTTCTCCAAGTTTATAACCACCAAGTTGGTTCCTAACTAAACTAGGTTTTATTTTGATACAATTCACCCCCACATAAAAAAGAACGATGCTTTATCTATTTTGCTTATATAAATTTTATGAATAACCATGACAAGTTTCTATAATATAGGGGTAATTTGTAACTTAGTTATAACATTAAGGGGTCTAAGTGAAAATATAAATTTATTTTAAACTCTTATCTTATCTGCGTATTTTAAAATCAATTTGTTGATGAATTATTAAAGGAGAGAAAGCATCATAGAACCACACGGCTCCGAACGTAGAAGCAAAAACCGCCAGATATTTCTTAAATCCAATTGGGTTTTCGATCTGAAGCTTGATTTCGATCATTCAGAGTTCAAGTTTACCTATTGGAGATTCACTTAAGAGGGTATTTGATTTTATTTCCGATTATTTAATGTTAGAATCATCCGTTAGTATTCCAAGTTTGAGATAGAAATTAGTTTTCCCTGTTGATGTTTTGATCATCAGTTTTGATATGAACAATTCTGTTCTTGATTCAATGTCAGACCCGCTTGGCATCATATTGTGTAATAATATTGTTTGTGTCTAGGTTTTCGATGTTTGACCAGGATGATAGCGTAGTCGTAAGCCAATCGAGTTAGAATCTGGTCCCGATATAGAAAAATGGATATGAGATTCTTGCAATTTGATATTAGATAATCATCATTTGTGCTTATGAACTTTTGATTTGGGTACTCTTATTTTGACTACACGATTGAACTTGGTCAAATTTGGTATTTTCTTTGACCCGCAACTATTGTGTTCTTCTTTGATCAATTTCTTGTTAAACTCCGGGATAACAAGGTGGACTATACAGTTATGCTGCCATTTTAATCAAACAAAGCAAGAAAAGGGGAAAATCTATTTTAGGGTTTGACCCTGAGACCGTGGGTATGATTGAGTCAAGTAAACAACCTATTTGATTATAAATCTGTTATGGGTTTTGAATTAAGGTTTTTATTTCCGTGATGCATAGATCAACTTAATCTTATGTTTCTAGTTGTCTTCCGGTTCTTCGGTGTTGTTTTCATGGAAACAACTGCTCTATTAAACCCTTTGGGGGCAGAGCGGATATACCGGGTTTGTTTGGTTTTACAGATTGATTTTAATCTTTTGTTTTTAAGTTGTCTTCCTGTATTTGGTGTTGGTAGGTAAAATGGCTGTGGCATTTTCACAGTTTTCATGGTGGTCGTGGAGCGGAAAGCATCAAGATACAAAACTTCGGTCCTCAAAGAATTCATCAACGCCTGATGTAAATATGTTGGAATTAGACAATTTGAAGTTCCCGTTAGTAAATGTGGCATCCTCAACTTCTAGAAGGGTAAAGCGAAAGTGGCAGAGTCGTAGAGAACGTAAAGTTGATAAGGAATATGATGTTGTGTTGGTTCCATCAGACGGTGGTTGTTTATCAGGATCAGAATCTGATGACTCTGATTGGTCCATTGGGTGGTTGGAACCTCATGGTGCTGGTTTTTGTAGTGACAATGATGATGATGATTCAGATGATAGTTTTGCTGTGCTTGTGCCTTGCTATGGTCGTGGACGTGGGGATATCGTTAATGCAAAGAAAGGTCCAAATGACAAGTTCTTGGATACTATTGGACAAGTTTCAGACATATATTCTGCTGGTATGTCTTCTCATTTTGCTGCTAAATATTCATATAAATTTTAGGTGCATAATTGTGTGATAATTCAATAAATTAGTATAAAATCTCTGCATCTTCGCTTCCGATGCTATGGCTTTTAGCATATCCCACATCTACCTATCGCATAAGTGCAACACGTCCACAGTATAATTCAAAAATGATATGCAACATGTCCAAACCAAACTAAACCAAACCAGTATATCCCACTTGAAAATAGGGTTTGATTGTGGAAAGATGAGGAGTTGATTGTGGTTCCATTCGCTGTACAATAGGACCCCAAGACTGAAGAACGCAGGTAAATGATGTAAATGGAAGTGGTCTAAATTTTTTGCGTTATAAAGGCGAACAAGACGAGGTTTAATTTTGTAATCAATGCTACTGTCAACTGGCTACAATCCAGATGATGATATTATTGTACTTAAAAGAGTCACAGTTTTTAGGTCACTAGTTGCTAATGCACTTCAGGATATTACCCTCAAGATTAGTAGCAATTTCCAAATAATGGTGCATATATATATAAATCTTACGTCATAATTCATACATTTCCAAATAATAATTGCATGATTCCAAACCAAATGAAACAAAACGAGCCCAGTCTATTCCATCTGGAGGTGGGATCTCTACCCCCAACGAGTAAAGCGGCTGTAAAATAATAATGCATGATGAGATTTGTAATTTAGATTCAACTTGGGCGAATATATGCAGTCGTGAGAACACATTCACCCCAAAAGGAAACAGGTAGAGATGCAGCAAGCCAAAAGATATCTTCTCCTTGTTTGCCTGCTTGAGCATCATTAGTCGAATTTCCAAGTTAGTGATGGGCAAAAGAAAGAGCCCTTAATACTAGTGTGATCGGTCTTGAACCCCATCTGGTCCAAACCGGTAACCTCTCCTCTAAAATCCAATACCAGCCAACCCCTGTCAGCGGTTGGGACCAGAAGTATTAACAACTACTACACAATATATGCAACAAATTAAAACATGAGACTGACCAAAATCCTAAAAGCAACATTGACCAAATGTTATGCAGTGAATCCTGTAGTGTCCGACATAGTATGGCAAATAAGAAGTATTTAGTATGAAAAAATGAGTGATTTCAAACAAAATTGTGACGATGTAAAAGCTAAAAGAACTTGTTCATCTTCCAAATCAAACAGCCATCATCCTTGCAAAACTGCAAAAAAAGGGGCTGCAATTTGCAAGAATGAACAAGTTTCGCTTATGAAATACAACGGTCATTTTTGCATCTGCAATGAGACAATTTGTACAAACTCACTCATTGTTGCACACTATATTACCACTCCTAATTAAGGGTATAGCCGCTTATTTTTGGAAGTGGACACTTTTTGGGATAAACAAAAATATAAACCTGGACACTAATTTTGAGACAGAAGGATTATTCTTTTTGGTATTTTTTACAGCATTAAAAATGGAAACATGGTTTGTGCAGAGAACAATGTGTACATGGAAGAATGGTTGTCGTCTTTGCAGCGCAGCTGAACGTCTATTGTAGCCCGATTAACTGTAAATATGTATCTATATGTAAAGGTATTGATTTAGTCGACGTGATGGTGGTGGTGCTACTTATTGTTTAAAATTGATCCTGATTTGTGACGATAACAAGAAACAGATCGATGTATCAAGAAAACTGAAAGCTGTTTGGTTTTCCGATACAAAGAAATGGGAAAAATGGATTGAAGATTGAATCAATTGGTCTTCAGATTAGCATTGATCTGGGAAAGAATCAAGATTGAAGAAAATCAAGATTTGTTGGGTGATCTTTGTTATTATGTAAATAATTTGTTATGATGTAAATATTTATTGGAAGTGAGGGTGAAGAAAAGGAACTTCCAAGAAAAGAAAAAAAAAACTGAAGGATAAATTCTTGTAAAATTAGATTCTAAACTGAATTCAATGGTTAGATGGTTTTTATGTTTATACAAATTTGTTTGTGTGTATCTAGACTAACTCCATGAGGCTGGACGTTTGGTTTGTTAGATCTGAAGAAATCTAATTCCATTCTACAAACCAAACGATTAAAAAAAAGCATGTTTTTGTCCTAAAATATGAACCTAAGACGGGTCAATGATTTAATTTTTTTTGTTTGGTTCACTTCTTTAGATAGAATTGATTTGTCATTCTTTTGAATTGCATTTTTGTTTTGTTTGCATGATTTAGAATTGGATGAATTCCGGAATTGAAGGGCCACTGTGGTACCAATCAAAAATACGGTTGTCGCTATTAGATGACCAAATGGGTTAGTCCATATATTTTCACCATTAGTTGTTTTATAAATTAAATCTACTAAAACAAAATAGGAGTTTATATAAATTACAATAAACGAAACAAAAAGTTACCAAATATAATAACGGGTGTTTTTATAGCATCCACAATGATTGGTTTTTGAGATTTTTAATTTTAGAGAGTAAGGGGTCGTTTACCAAACGCTTACCTGGGTAAGCGTTTACCAAATGACACTACCTCATCGGATGAATATGGTATGGACCAAGAATCTTACCTGGTAAGAGCGATACAATGACCAAGAGTCTTATCCGTTAAATGAGGGCTACGACTCTTATCGCGGTAAGTTCTTACTGGGTAAATTGTTGCATATGATGTCGTTTATGTGAACAAAAATTTTACCTGATAAATAAATAATAGTGTTTAACTTTACCGGTAAGCACTTACTGGATAAGTGTTTCGTAAACGGCTCTGAATAAGAAGGTAAACCCATATTTTTAAAGAAATACCCAAGTTATTACCTTGGTAAATGTATTGCATTTTATATAGGTTTCTGTTTTGTTTAAGAGATTTAATAATAAAAGTTGATGATGTAAAATATAAGGGACCCATAGAGATATTGGAGGAGGCATAATTATTTCCTTTTTATTAGATTATTGATATGTCAATAAAATTGAAATTTTAAGGTTATCTGAACTCATTCTATTATGGATAAGTGACTCTCGGAACCTCATAATTGTGGGTACTCCCTTGAAGGGACTCAAATGAATGATTATCCAAAGTAAACTTAGGGGCTGTTTGGCGGTTGTTGAATGGTTTAGTGCAGAATGGTTAAGAAGGCCAGAATGGTTAAGTGCTGAGTGAAATAATGGTGTTTGGTAACTGTTCTCTGAATGACAACAAATTACAATTTTAACCCTCGAGACAAAGGAGTTCCATTCTAATCAAATTAAGGTTATCCAATTCACAAAAGAGTCCATACAACATAAAATACTTTACACCGGCGACCG